AGTTTTTTGACGAATAAAGTCCTGAGAAAAATCATTGTGTAATAAAATGCCTCCGACGGGATTCGAACCTGCGACCTCTCGCTGACAAGGCGAGCGTCATAACCACTAGACCACGAAGGTTTCATGGTTGAAAAGGTCCAAATACCCGTCGGGAACATTGTATTACACAATGCTATGCCTCAAGAGGGATGATGAGACCTAGTAGTAGGAGACCTACATGATAGTGATTTGGTTCACTTTTAGGAATCCTGTCTCGGCCTGTTTCAGATTTTTTGTGCTTTTATTTTGTTGTATTGTAACCGGTTGTTGTTTTTTATGTATTTTATTGAGACAAAATAAATGAAATGATTTATATTATATTTGATGAGATTTGAGGGATTTGATGATTTATATTATATTTATTCAACAGTGTTATCGGCTAACTTCCTTCAATATCATATATATATATATATATATATATATATATATATATATATTTCAGCATTGTATTACTATCAATTGATTTATACGTTATTTGTGTTCCCAGTGCTAAGCAGCAAGAATTTGAATTGAATATTATTTATAAGGCCGAATACATTTTTTTATAGTTTCACTTCGCTATTAAGTCCTTCATTCGAACACTGTATTTACTTTTTTTTAATGATTTATTTATAATTTTTAAGAGTTTTGACGGCTATCTTGATTTACATTACCGGTATATGCAACTATTTATTCTAAGCCGTATATCTAGATTTATTTGATTCAACTCTCGTTGTGTAATACGATACGATTATTTGAATCTGTTCAACTATGAAGCCTCTGTGGTCTAGAGGTTATGACGCTTGCCTTGACAGTGAGAGGTCAGAGGTTCGAATCCCGTCTCAGGACTTCAGCACGGCGTAGCGAGTTGCTGACGGACCCCAGTGCAAAATAATTGCCATGCCCAAACCTAAAAAGCATCTGATCAGACCTAGAGACGGAGTCTTGGTGGAGTCTACTTAGGCGAAACTCTTAATGCATACGGTACATTACATTCTGAAATTGTTTGAAACGGATACGGCATTGTAAAGAGTATAAATATCTATAAATTATTCGAAATTAAAATATATTGAGAACAAAATATAGTCAAGTTATATATATTTTATCGTTTAGGTTGGGAATGCCTAGGAGTCTCTGGCCTATAACATTGACATTTTAAAATCCTTGCGGCCGTACACCACATATCTGAAAAGAATGTTGTTTTGTTGAAAATGTCTCGAACTTTCGATTGGTATTTTTCTGCTGATGAAGATTGAAGCAACTCGATCAAAACGTCAAGATATTCTCAACAAACGAACTTTTCAGAACTATCTAGTGCGTGGTGTACCGCAAGCAATTAAAATATTATTACTTCGACATGCAAACCTTCAGACCATATAATAATTGACAACAAGATAACAATCAATGACACGATTTCACTATGACGTAAATCGTATTCATGAAGTATGATGACCTGACGTGATTCAAAAACGTGCACAATATAGTTTAACCAATTTTAAAATAAGCCTATCAAACAAAAACGAGCGTAAAGTATATTAGTTCATCGTACTGTGGTAGGAAGCCTACGTAGATTACCTAATGGAAGGACATAATCCCGATTGTATGCAACAAATACAATGCTGTTTCAAGGCATGTTTTTGTTTGTTTGTTTGTTTTTTTACTTAAGAGTCATCATAATTACAGTGTTTGGTGGCACGTAATTGCTATGCTAAATTGTAATGAATACTGTATAATTTATAATTAAGCAGGCCCGTATCCGGGCGGGGGGGTTATGCTTTTCTAGCAAACCCCCCACTTTTCTGGCGAACCCCCTCTTTAAATTTTTTTAAATAAGTCCTCCAACCCAACTAATGCACTGCAGACCCACCCAGACACAGACATTTTCAAACATATCTGCGTTTATAGCAATATTTAGACCCATAAAGCACAAAATCATCTTGCTTTTGGGGGTTTCGCCGACCCCCGGGGCATTGACTTCGGACCTCACGCCCAGAAACGCCCCGCCCCCTTGGAAAAACCGAGCTGCGGGCCTGCTAAGGCCTCTAAAACCTAACATCATTGTGGGAAAGATGTAAGTAAGAATTTTAAAATTAGATGTTTAAATCTATATGCTTATTGAACTAATAACCCCATGTCCCCAGTGCTTTGCACTACCTATAGCTACGCCACTGGAGGCATTATATTACACAATGTATTTATTTATAAGGCAGCTACATCGCGCTCACTGACACACCGTTCAAAACCCGATACACAAACCACAAATACACTTTTAACACCCCGAAACACAGAAACAGCACTGTACTCTCCAAATACGTACGGAAATTAAAAGACAGCAACACACCCTACAATATCAAATGGTCTATTATCGACAGAGCATCGGCTTACTCCCCAAAAACAAAACGCTGCAACCTATGCATAACCGAAAAACTTCACATAATATATTCAGACAAACAGTCAATACTAAACAAAAGAACCGAGCTATTGTCTAAATGCAGGCACAACAACAAATACTTACTTAAAAACAATTAACTCATTTGCATTTTCACCTGCATTAGAATTCATATACTCACACAATCCTTGTATTCTCTCACTCGTGAAGATTGCATTAGCATGAAACAGTCTGTAGAGTGATTATACCATGGAGGAAATAAATATATTTCCTCCATGATTATACCCAGTTCTACAAGTTCTACATTTTCAATATTTATAACTATCTGCTCTGCATTATAACGTGTATCGAGCACTGTACGTTGCTAGTATTGCCAACTATATTTATTCAT